GCAGAAAGGAGAAATGAATACACCATCAAAGGGTAGATTTTAGAAAGCCACATAGATCTATATAAAACATGGATGTTCTTCTCCATACCAAATAATGACAAAAACATAGTTGGCTTCAGATATCAGAAGAGAACTACATAGTGATCGGGATTCTACATATAGAACTCAGAATTCTTGGTTCATGTAAATCTGAATCTAGCAGGCACTTCCCCTCCGCAAGCGGCTTCATAGTCTTCACCGAGATATGGTGCAGCATCCTTGTTAGAGCATATGAACTTCTCCACGAAATACCTCTCGGTCCCCTTGAAAACAGTACAGTAGCTGGGGTCGTGCTTGAGCAATCCATTTTCCTTGAGAAACTTTACAACGTAGTACCGAGGTCTCATCCGGCCCTCTAGGCTGTAAGAGAGCATTACCGGCTGACGAGCAATGTACGCCGGTTCCAACCCCACTTCAGAGATGAGGAACTCGGACCTGTGCTGCAGCGATTGTTTTGACTTGGCGAGCAAAAACGGGGCCTTAGGGAGAGCAATGCTCACCTCGGCATCCGACCACCCGAACGTCTTCTTAAGGTGACCCACTTTGGCTGCGATCTTCTTCTCATCGAGGAATGCGACAGCACTGAGAGCATGCCTGAACATTCCAGATCCCCGGGGCACACCGAGGCCTTCGGTCAACGCCACCATTGTCTGGACGCGCTCCAGGTTGGTGGTGACCATCCTCGGTAGCGGGCTGCACAGCTTGGCAATGTCGGGATCACCCAGCCCGCATTCGCGCAGGAAGGCGACGTTGAGCTCCACCCTCCTATTGCAGCAGAGGAGGTTGGTGTTGAAGTTGATGGCCCGGAGCAGCTTCTCCAAGGAGACGCCGAAGATGCACAGGCAGTAATGTATATTGGGGACGCTGGATCTGCAGCGGAATCTGTCTGGGGCGAGCGAGAGGAGGCGCGCCATGTCGGGATCTGACAGGCCGAGGCCGGAGAGCCCCGCGACGATGGGGGCCAGGCCCTTGTCGACTCTGGTGCAGAGGAACTTGGGGTCCTTGGCGACGAGGGCCGCGACGTCGGCGCCGGAGAGGCCGCGGCCGGCGAGGAAGGCGAGCACGGCGTCGGGGTTGGCGGCGGACCTGAGATGGGCGAGCTTGGGGGAGGCCTTGAGTGCCTGCGCTCGGGTGAGGCCGCAGGTGGAGACGAGGTAGTCCTCCACGGCGAACCCGGTGGTCGGGGAGATGCCGGGGGCTGTGGCCGACGAGAGGAGGCGGCGGGGAGAGGAGAGGATGCAGCTCCGAGCGTGTACCTGTGGTCGGGCGGCGGAGGATATGAGGCGGTGGATAGGGGAGGCGGTGGTGGCGGAGGGAGTGGAGAGCGTCTGGATGAGGAGGCGGCCTTGGCGCCGGAGCATGGCGGCGCCGGCGGCGAGGGGGGGAGCTGCGCGAAGGAAGGAGAAGCCGTGGGTCAGTCTCTCTCACATTGACTGACAAGACATATACTGGTGGGCTGGGCTTTTCGTCTGCGTGAAATGGGCTGGGCTGCCCTCCTGCCCTGGGCTTACGCTCTTTTCTTTAGATAGATGCCCTGTCTTCTCTCAAAAAAAATTGAGTACCCCTAAAAAGAAATTGAGTGACTCACAATATTTTGATGAGTTATATCTTTCTTTATTTAGGAAAAATTGATTGAAACTTCCATCGAAGGAAAGCAAATAAAATGTTTTCATCTCGTAGAATTAGGAATTCATATCTGGTGTGGGCGTTAGAGCATTGATACGCCTTTACCTAGTTTGAGAGGGCTGGGAAGGACACACCTCTCGAGATTATAGCTGGCCAAACGGGCCGGGCTAAATAGGCCAGCCGGCGAGCACGCCGGCACGGCCCGCCATGGGCCAGGCACGGCACGGGCTAAACGAGCCGTGCCCGGCACGCGGCACACCTTGGGCCGTGCCTGGGCTTGGAGCCTGGGCACGCGGGCCGGCACGGCACGGCCCGTTTAATTTTTTATATATTTTTCAGATTTTTTATATATATACCTAAAATATAGCCCAATAGGCCTAAAAACCAGCCCAGCAGACTGAAAATGTGCAGCCCAGCGTGCTAAACGGGCCATCGGGCCGGCCCGTTTACTAATCAGGCCGTGCTTGGGCCAAGAAGCAGCGCCCGTGGGCCGACACGGCACGGCCCGGCTATTAAACGTGCCATGGCGGGCCGTGCCGGGCCAGGCACGATTAGCTAAGGCCGTGCCAGGCCGGCCCGTTTGGCCAGGTCTGCTCGAGATGTAACCAACCAAACTGAAATCACATTGCCTACAAACAACGGCTCTTTCCTTTCTTTTCCTTTGTTGCCAAGTGAGCTTGAGGCATGGTGATAGTACATAATTAGCCACTGATTAAACTTGATGATGCTACCTTGAGTATCTTTTCTACTCCCTCCGTCCCAAAATGTAAGAACGTTTTAACACTAGCATAATATCGAAAACGTTCTTATATTCTGGGAGAGAGGGAGTACTTATCAAGATTGAAGTTGGTGGTGAATTCACATCATTTCTACATAAACAAATATACACAACCCTACGTGTGAAACTAGCTACCTTTCAAAAGACATGTAAACAAATGTATTTTATTCACATGCGAAATCTATCTTAAATAAACAAACAAATTACTTTCATGTGAGACCAACTTTTTTAAAGAGGCACAAATAATAAACACAAAAGGTGTGACTTCAACTTAAAATAAATCTTGGTTTTAGTTTCTCTTCCCAATTGTCATTTAAAATTCTTTGACGCTGCATGTCTCTCATCATATATTTTTGCTATCTTTTTCCAATCGTAAATCACACAATGGCCACAAAGGACACTGTCGTTATTTGACCACCTACTAAGCCAATGGCTCCGTGGCAATGCACGGGCATCATCCTAGTATAAGGAGAAAAAAAAAGCATAGGACTGCATATAATATTCGGCGCCACAACAACGATTTCAAAGCGCCGTCCGTCCATCCATCGGTCCGGTCGAGGTCACGGAGCCGGTGGCGAATTCAACACCAGTTAATCTCCACTACTGTACTCAGCTGATAAGTAACCAACCTTATTGCAATTGGAAACAGAACTTCACTGCTGAAACTGTAGGTGTATGTATCTTCAGAATGTGGGGTGTCTTTCAGATGAAAAAGAAGCTCCATCCTGTGAAACAAGATTCTTTTACAACACTAAGAGGAAGAGTTGAGCCCATCACAAACCATGCACTCCAAATTAATTACTCTACTCCGGTTTAAACTGAAAGCGATAATCTGAGAGATAACTTGTTATAAAGAACAAAAGAGGATGCAAATGTGTCTGCAGTGTGTGAGACCTGAAGCGAGGCCGATCCTCTGGCATGTCTTCTCTAGGATTAGTCTTCAATTTCAGTAAATTGAAGACTAAACAAATAGTTCCAGGTAAACAACCCATGTTCAACAAGTACAGCCTGTGTGCATGCATGCCATGTCTTCTCTAGTTGGCACACAGAATAAATATACCCAAGGACCGTGGTAGCCAAGCTGGTGCCAAGCTTTCAAATCAAAAGGCTATTACTACTGAAAGAATTAAACCATTATCACCTCATGTGCTTACCAGGTCTTTTTCCTTGTGCTACCAGATGGAAGTCATGAAGAGCAGCCAGCTCATGTCGCCTCTAATTATCTACTCAACCATAACATGGGTTTGTGTGCAAACAGGAATGACCCAAATCAAAGAAACAAGGGAAAAATAACTCAAGTGTGTCAACCGCAATGGCAACTTGTTAACTCCAGGAGTCCAAGTTTAACCTGTATGTGTGGACATTGGCATAAAATACACCCAACGGCTACAACTTCAGTCCTAGTAGTCCTCAAGATATATAATGCATTTAAAGTTCATTTAATACTGCAAAGTAATATAAAGCTTTCCAATGGTAGCCAAAATTCTAAGTATCAGGGGAACAGCCAAGTATTCTTTTCATAACAGAAACAGCTAGCGGCAAAATAAATGCTGTCAGTTTTGAGATCAGATTTCTAGAAAAAAGTATTCCAAGAAAAAAATGAAATTAGATAGCACTTCCCCTCTGCAAGTGGCAGCATATTCTTTAGTGAGGTGCGGGGCAGCTTCCTTGTGAGGGCAATATGAAAATTTTCAATGAAAACGTTCTCAGTCACCATGAAAACGGTATTGTAGCTCAGGTTGCGCTTGAGCAATCCATTTCCTTGAGAAACATTACAGCATAGTATCAGGGCCTGAGCAGGCCCTGTAATTCTGACAAGCTACGACAGATGTAAATGATGAGACTAATTCATTGTTGATCATGCTTTAGTCCCAAATAGATTACCTTATCAAGTTTGAAATTTTTCTCAGCAGAAGTAAAATCAGGTACAGGATTTAGGAACAAAGATATTCAATCTTAGAAGGATAATGGGGAAAAAAATCAAAAGGCATAAGACACCCAATAGAAACATATTTCCTAAGCATAACCTAGATATAAAAAACATGAACTGTAAATGATGAAAAACAAAAGGATAGAAATGGAATGGAAACAAAAAATTGAATGAAAGCAACTCATACGATATATTTACTGGAAAACGATGCAATACAGTTCTCATCTTTTCTTGTTCTCTGGGTTCTGGTTTCACAAGAAAATTGGTCTACCCACATATTCAATTTCCATTATCCTAATGGAAGTCGGAAACACAAAATATTCATGGACTTTAATTGTCTGAGATTATCTAGGCAATGCTTTCATATCTATTCCCTCCGTAACCTAATATAAGAGGGAGTACTTACTGACAACATCATTACATCAACACCACAGGGTTCATGAATTAAATTATCGATTTCGTTAGTCAGTAGCAGCGACCAATCCACCATGTGGAAGACATACTACAGCGGAAAACCAATCTCTATTCAGGGGAAAAAAACATTAATGTGAATTACCAGCTTACTAGGGATGGTGAAAACTCTGCCATGTCATACACAGTTACCAATTTCCATAGCCCATCCTTGCTTCATGTAAATCTGAATCTAGCCGGCACTTCCCCTCTGCAAGCTGCTGCATAGTCTTGAGCAAGGTGCAATGCAGCTTCCTTGTAAGGACATATGAACTTCTTCATGAATACCTTCTCATTCAGTGCGACTGCGGAGTACAAGTCCCTGTCGGGATCTAGCAATCCATTTGCCTTGAGAAACTTCACAACGTAGCTCCGGGGCCTTAGCCGGCCCTCCAGGCTGTACGAGAGCATTACGGGGCGATGAGCAATGTATGCGGGTTCCAACCCCAAATCAGAGATGAGGAACTCCGACCTTCTCTGCAGAAATTCCTTAGTCTTATTCAGCATATTTGGAGCCTTAGAAATAGCAATGCCCACCTCAGCATCCTCCCACCTGAACGTTTTCTTCAGGTGCTCCACTTTGGCGGCGATTTTCTCCTCGCTGACGAATGCGACAGCACCCATCGCATGCCTAAACATCCCAGATCCTCGGGGTATACCCAGACCTTCGACGCACACCGCCGTCGCCCGGACACGCTCTGCCCTGGTGGTGAGCAGCCATGACTGAGCGACGCACAGCCTGGCAATATCACAAGGACCAAGCCCAAACTCTCGCAGGACCGCGACATTGGGCTTGATCACTGTCTCAAGGTTGGACGTGAGAATGTAGAAATTGCGCTTGACAGCAGAGAGGAGATTCTCGTAGGACCCGAAGATGCACAGGCAGTAATGTATATTGGGGACGATGGATCTGCAGCGGAATCTGTCTGGGGCGAGCGAGAGGAGGCGCGCCATGTCGGGATCTGACAGGCCGAGGCCGGAGAGCCCCGCGACGATGGGGGACAGGCCCTTGTCGACTCTGGTGCAGAGGAACTTGGGGTCCTTGGCGACGAGGGCCGCGACGTCGGCGCCGGAGAGGCCGCGGCTGGCGAGGAAAGCGAGGACGGCGTCAGGGTTGGCGGCTGACCTGAGATGGGCGAGCTTGGGGGAGGCCTTGAGTGCCTGGGGCCGGGTGAGGCCGCAGGTGGAGACGAGGTAGTCCTCCACGGCGAACCCGGTGGTCGGGGAGATGCCGGAGGCTGTGGCACCGGAGAGGAGGCGGCGGGGAGAGGAGAGGATGCAGCTCCGAGCGTGTACCTGTGGTCGGGCGGCGGAGGATATGAGGCGGTGGATAGGGGAGGCGGTGGTGGCGGAGGGAGTGGTGAGCGTCTGGATGAGGAGGCGGCCTCGGCGCCGGAGCATGGCGGCGCCGGCGGCGAGGGGAGGGAGGGAGCTGGGTGAAGGAAGGGTGAAGCCGTGGTGCGTCAGTCTCTCTCACATTGACTGACAGACATACACTTTTTTTTTGAGCAACCCAGACATATACTGGTGGGCTGGGCTTCTGGTCTGCGTGAAAGGGCCTGCTGGGCTGCTCCTGCCGTGGGCTTAGACTCTTCTCTTCAGAGATAGATGCCCTGTCTTTTCTCAAAAAAAGAAAAAAGTGACTGACAAAGTTATATATTCCTTTCTTTTTCTTTGTGATTGCAAGAAGATGAGTCCAGATGAGCATCACTTCGGTGGATGAATCCTCGGAATACATCCTGGGAAAAATGGAACTTCCATTGAAGAGAAGCAAATGGAACGCTTTCATAAAAATTCTCGTAGAATCCAGAATCCATATCCGGTGTGAGTGTTAGAGCATTGAGAGGACCTTTCCCTAGTACGAGAGTGCCGGAAAAGACACACCTCTGATGTAGCAGTTATCGTGAGATGTAACCAACCAAATTGACATCACATCACACTGCCTACAAACAACGGTTCTTTCCTTTCTTTTCATTTTTTGCCAAGTGAGCTTGAGAGACATGGTGATAGCAAATGATTAGCCACTTATTAAACCTGATGATGCTCCAACAACGATTTCAAAGCGCCTTCCGTTCGTCCTGTGCGATAGCTGGAAACATCTTAGCCTGTTGAGGCCGACGGGTTCGTGTTATATAGAGTTGGGGCGCACCTCCCAACCATAGTGCATACATTGTTGAGATTACAAAAGAGAGAGAGATATTCAAGGAAGAGATAGAACTTGGAGAGAAAGAAAAACAATCTATCTATCTATCCTAACTACCTCATGCGCCGGGTGCACCATAGTATGTTTAACACCCTCCTGTAATCACAGCTTCATTAAGTTGAGATTATGCTTGAATTCTTCAAAACTCCTTGTGGGCAAAGGCTTTGTAAATCCATCTGCAATCTGATCCTTTGAATGCACAAATCGAATGTCAAGTTGCTTTTGAGCAACTCTCTCTCTGACAAAATGAAAGTCTATCTCTATGTGCTTTGTTCTGGCATGGAACACAGGATTAGTGGAAAGATAAGTGGCTCCAAGATTGTCACACCACAGACATGGAGCTTGTTTACTCTTTACCCCAAGCTCTTTCAACATAGACTGAACCCATATGATTTCAGCTGTAGCATTTGCTAATGCTTTGTACTCTGCCTCAGTACTTGACCTGGATATAGTAGCCTGTTTGCGTGCACACCATGATATTAAGTTAGGCCCAAAAAAGACTGCAAAACCACCCGTTGAGCGCCTGTCATCCAGGCACCCTGTCCAGTCTGAATCAGAAAAGGCACTGACAAGGATAGAAGATGACTTGCTAAAATTTAGACCTATATTGAGAGTATGTTTAACATATCTGACTATACGCTTGGCAGCTGTCAAGTGAACATCAGTAGGTGCATGCAAAAACTGGCAGACTTTGTTGACAACAAAAGATAAATCAGGTCTGGTAAGAGTTAGATACTGAAGAGCTCCTACGAGGCTTCTATATTTTGTGCTATCTTCCTGACTCAAAAGTTTACCTTCCGCAAGAGACAATTTTTCTGAGCAGGATAATGGAGTGAGTGAGGGTTTACAACCTTGCAATCCTACCCTTTTAACCAGATCAGCTGCATATTTTGCTTGAGAGAGATGAAGTCCATTCTAATGCTTCTTTACCTCAATCCCAAGGAAGAAGTAGTGCAAGTCTCCAAGATCCTTTAACGCAAACTTTGCACTCAAGTCTCTTAAGAGACCTCTAATTGCTTCATCAGATGAGCTGGTCACAATAATGTCATCAACATAAATGAGAACAAAATATGCATGTATTGGATCTGTTATAAATAAATAATGATGTGTCTGATTTAGAGGGAACAAATTCAAGTTTTTGCATCTTGTGACAGAGATGAGAATACCATGCCCTTGGAGCTTGTTTTAATCCATATAGGGCTTTATCAAGCTTGCACACATAAGAAGGAGTATTCTTACTTTCAAACCCAGGAGGTTGTTTCGTGTACACATCCTCTTCCAGAACACCATGGAGAAACGTGTTCTGTACATCAAGCTTCCTGAGACTCCAACCTCTGGAAACAGCAATAGACAAAACGAGACGAATAGTGGCAGCTTTTACCACAAGACTAAAGGTATCCTTATAGTCTATGCCATATCGCTGTTTGAAGCCTTTTGCAACGAGCCTAGCCTTATAGCGGTCAATGGTTCCACCAGGTCTCCTCTTAATTCTGAAAACCCACTTGCAATCAATTAAATTTTTACCTTGCTATGGTGGAACCAGGTGCCATGTTTTGTTTTTCTTTAGTGCCATGTACTCCTCATTCATTGCCTTCTTCCACTTATCATCACAGAGTGCTGCATCAAAGGTTTTGGGTTCATCTGGTTCTCCTGTGGAATAGACCAAACCATATTTAGTCATATGTTTATAACTTACGGGTTGAGTTACCCCTTGTTGTAGCCGTGTACGCCGTGATGGTGGAGTAGCAGAATCCTCAGCCGCAGAGGATCCAGCGTGTTGCGCAGGATCATCAGCTGCAGCTGCAACTGATCCCGAGGCGGATCCTGTCACGGCAGCAGCGCCAGCACCCGCAGGGTTGGCCAGATCTTCTATGGCCAACGGCTGAAGCGCCACGTATGCGGTTGGCGCCGAGAATCCTGAGCCCCGCGCCTCTGCGTGCGCGCCGGTCGGCCGACCGCTCGTGGGGGGACCCGCTGGGCCCGCGTCCTCCCTGGCGGGTGCCAAGTCCCGCCTCTTGTACGTGACTGGTTGGGTACTGTACCGCGCGCCAGTCGGAGGAGGCCGCGTGTCAGGCGCGGGGTCGTCGCGGCGTGAATCTGGCGCGAGAGCGCGTGCGCCTGCACCTGCCCCCTCTGTGGTGGCTGATCCCGAGGAGGATCCTCCCTCTTGCGCCGTTAGCGATCCCGAGGCGGATCCGATCGCTTGCGTCGCTGCCGATCCCAAGGCGGATCTGTCTCTTGCCACGGGACACATGGGATATAGCCCAAATTTTGCACCGTTTGCTTCATTTTCTTCGCCGTTTCTCCTGTTGCATCGACACGGGACTCATGCATGCCATTAGATGGGTTAGTCAACAATTGATCATCAACACCCCTTGATCAAAGCCAGTGAGATGAGGTGGCAAGAGAAGAATTTCCTCTCGGAGAAGTGCGCCGACATTAGGGTGAAGATCAGCAAAAGGGAACTTAGTTTCATCAAAGACTACATCATGGGATATCTAAACACGTCCAGTGGAGACATCCAAGCACTTGACCCCCTTATGCTGAGCACTATAGCTAAGGAACACACACTATTTTGATCGAAACATGAGTTTGCGATTATTGTAGGCTAGTAGGTTTGGCCAATAGGCACACCCAAAAACACGAAGAGACTTATAGTCTGGTTTTGTGTGAAGAAGCCTTTCTACAGGAGTTTCATGATTAATGACACGACTAGGTAGCATGTTTATGATATGGACGGCAATGATAAACGCTTCATCCCAAAATTTAAGAGGCATGAAAGCGCCGGCCAAAAGAGCAAGGCCAACTTCAACGATGTGCCGATGCTTGCGTTCAGCTGACCCATTTTGCTGGTGAGCATGAGGGCAGGACACATGGTGTGAGATACCAAGTGTCTAGAAGAAGAAGTTCAACTTTTTGTACTCCCCTCCCTAGTCGAATTGGACAGCAATGATTTTACTGTCAAACTTTCGTTCAACTAGAGCTTGAAAGTTTTTGAAAACTTGAAACACATCAGATCATTTATTTTAGAGCTATATCCAAGAGAATTTACTATAGTCATCGATAAAACTGACATAATAGTGTGTCTACCAACAGAAGTGGGAGCAGGGCCCCAAACATCAGAAAAAATCAACTGTAATGGTTTAGTAGAAATACTGGTAGAAATTGGGTAAGGCAATTGATGACTCTTAGCTCTCTGACATGAATAACAAATTGTTTCATATCAACAAGGACGTCAATGGCTCCTCTCCTCTCGTCTCCCACCTCTCTCCTCTCCCACCTGCTGTCCACCAACAATGGAGATCTCTAGATTCCACCACCATGGAAGGCCTTCTACATTGGGATTTTGCTCCTGGTTTGTCCCTAGCCGATCAGGTGAGACGTAAGTTTGGTTCTACGGTGCACTTCTCTCCCTCCCGAGACGCCAATGAGTTCTTTTTGGTTGTTTCTTTCTCTTCGGCTTCATTCCCTCTCACAAATGATTCAGTGGGATTGGCTTTGCAATGTTGCATTGGAGGGATTTGCTCTGGTTTCAAGGTTTTGGCCCTTTCCTCACGATCATTTCGTTTTTCTGTGGCCAACAACAAGGTGGGTCATTTCATTTATGGGTTAAAGGATCGTGTTTGGCCTGACTTTGTATGTCACTTCCATCTGTTCAATGGCCGCTTTGCTAAGCGTTTCTCTGCTTTACATTGGCATGCTGATCAAGAATTGGTTGAGGTTTTGGATCGACAGCCTGTGTCCATCTCTG